CGTTTATTAGGGTTGACTCGTTTATTTATTGGGCAAATATAAGAGAATATTAGCGGGTAAAAATTGCAACAGTCTTATAGAAAAAACTCGAGCAATTTAGCACTTGACTGCTCTGAAATCAAATATAAAAGTATTACAATATTGATTCAATGATAAATTTGGATTGGATTGTCAAAAATTACAGATACGGATGAGCCACAATCTACCTCCATTTGTAAATTTCTGTCCTCAATGTTCACTTGCACCAAGCAAGGATTACTAACGTCGTTTTCGTTTTTGCGGTGTAGCACCGGTGTAGTGTAAGCAGGAATAAGCGCGAGTCTTTGACAGCTCAACATCATTTGTTTGTAAACAAAGGTGCATCCTATATCTACACCCTAAAATATTTCGGTGTACGGCAGTGTAGCACCGGTGTAGCTACACCGCAAAAACGAAAACGACATAATTTTATTTATAGACGCCACCATCATACACTCAAAGATAAATTAAATCAAAAAAGCTTAAAAAGTATGCAGATTCCCGCTTCACCTTATTGAGTCTGAGCCATGATTACTTCGGCAGTAATCATGCATGATTAAAATCGAAATAATCTTCCCAGTATTAAATTTTATTCTTTTTCAATACTGATATATAATCAAAAAAGATTAAAATTAAATCAATTTTTTTTTAATAGAATAAAAAATGATTAAAATTTATTCAAAAACCCGAATTTATCCACCTATGGTGTGATCAGACCCTTCTTACTTATTCAAGTTTATTTATTTTATTGTCATTATCAGTGACCAACCCCTCCACCCCCGTGTCATCCAGTGACGCTACGCCACTGCCTGGGGGTACCCGGAATATATACGGGTGTAGTCTATTTGGTGAGGCTACCAATCACCTTATCATCGTATTTTAATGTGATTTAATGGGTTTTAATTTAATTCATATTCAAGCAACTTCCCCGGGGTACCCGGAACATGTCCAAGTGTGTCCAATGTGGTCTGGAACACTTAACACGACTTGCATTGATCTTATTTTTGATTTCTGTAGTAATTTGATGTGTCGCATGATGGTTTTGATACGTTTTATCTCCGGAACCGGTTCACCGATTCCAAAACCGTTCAATAGCGTTCAATGGGACCACAAGACCTATCATTTGGCGCCGAGTTTATCCAAATCGGTTGAGCGGTTGCTGAGAAACGTGAGCGCATTCATTTCGTTACATACACACACACATACACACACACACACACAGACATGTTCCGATCTCGTCGAGCTGAGTCGAATGGTATAAGACACTCGGCCCTCCGGGCGTCGGATCGATAGTCGGTTTTTCAAGTGATATCTATACCCTTCTTTGTAAGAAGGGTAAAAAGATAATCTACAATCTAATCCACCATGATTAAACTGGGATTACTATCAGACGCTTATTTTTTAGAAAGAGGGGAATAATTTTTAATCATTCGATATGATTGAACTAAGTTAAATAGTTGAAGATGCTAATTTCAAATAACAGACTGTAGTGGTAATTTTTATACGATAGATAGAGTAGATGAAAGCATAGAGTTGATAGATCCGTTAAATTACGGCAGTGTGAAGATTGAATATAGATATTAGAATAGCGAGCTAGGACAACTTTTAAGGAAGGTACAAATCGGTTTTTTCATCTCTCTTTACCAAACTCCCCCTTTGGAGAGGGATGGTGAGGGGTGCCCCCCCCCCCCCCGCCACCACTGGCAAAAAGAGATGAAAACGGACCGCTCAAGTACCAACTGCGTGTTTGAAACAATTGACATTTGATTATTCACAGTGTTTCGAATGCACAGGTAGTACACAACAGGCCACAGGGTGTTTTTTTTTGGAGCTCGTTTCAATTTTCTTTGGGCTTTTCTCCTCAATTTTATGGCGGCCTTGGTTTTGGGAGTCCACCACCTTACTGCCCGACGTTTGGTCGTTATAACAGCTATCCATACAAAATAATCCGTTAAAAATAACTTCGTCGAGATACATAATTTCCCAAGTAACATTACAATTTTTTTGGCGGTTTTATAGGATTCTACAAGTCTAAATCATGGTCTACAGAACCCTCATAAAACCAAAATTGTTACTAGGATTGTCAATTCATAAAAAAAAATCACTGGGTAACCGTTCAAAAGACAGTTTTAACGTGTGAAATGCAATGTCTCTTAAATTCTGCTAATGTTGTTGCACGTTTAATGTGTCTAGGAATCGAATTGAAAACAATTATTCCTTTTAAAAATAATGAATTCTTTGAAGCACAAGTCAACAAATGTGGTGTTCTTATTTCATCCGCGTTTCTAGTATTATATCTATAATAATCACTTCCTCTTTCAATTCGACCACACAAATATCGAGGCAGCAAACCGTTAACTTCTCTAAAAATGAACACCATCGTCAAATATACTATTCTTTGCTTCACTGACAACCATTGTAAAGCGTCCAGCATCAAAGTTGAGGAAGTAAATCTATTACATCGCAAAATCAAACGCATTATTTTATACTGCAAGCGCTGTAATCTCGAAATAAAATGGAAGGGTAACAATCTAGATGAGGAGAGATGAGATTGATTTGTATAGCTGTGTTTTACTATCAATAGTTAAATCGTTTTTCAATCGACATAGAACTCCATACTTTTTGGCAATTTTCTTGATGACATTGTCAATGTGAGAGTTGAACTTAAGTTTGTAATCAATAATCACGCCAAGAAAAAAATCTCCGAACGCGATCATTATCAATTACAACAGAGACGTTCTCATTTAATCGATTCCGCGAAATTACCATAAATTTAGTATTACTTGTATTCAATTTCAACTGCTTATACTTCAACCATCTACTTAGAGAACGCAAATCTTCATTCAAGTGTAAAACGACATAATCTAAATCCTTAGCTGCAATGAATAACACAGTATCATCTGCAGAAAGATTAATGTCGCAAAACCGTAAAACACGTCGCAAGTCATTAATATACATAATAAATAAAAGGGGCCCTAATACACTTCTCTGGGGCACTTCAAGGTTATTCCCCATGGGACTGGAAACAGAATCATTAAAAACAGTCCGTTGAGTTCTGTGAGATTAATAGTGTTCAAACCATTTATATGCAGTATTCGTAATTCCAAAGCGCTTGATTGTACGGGCTGATACAATACGCTTACACTTACGGCACAAACGAAGTGACAGACGGAGCGGCTCGAAAACTTTGGTGACTAACCTGCTATTTCAATTTTTCAGTGTACCACATGGCAACACCACTACTACTGGATTGTACCACATGGCAACACTACTATTGGATTGAACTAGCATTTTCACCAAATGTACTAGAATATTTTGGTTCTATCTCTTTCACTCTACTCAAAACTGAAATGCATAAAAAAATGACAAAATGATACGCACTCTTTGCACACTGTCAAAGAATCATTGTACACAAAATCAACTTTGTTCAAATCAAAACAAAAAAACTAACCCATCTGGTGGATGATGGCACAAGCTTCCAAGAAAATTCTATTACAGTGAACCACATTATTTTAATGGATTTCTTCGCCAGTTAGTCGTCTGTCACTTCGTTTGTGCTTACGGGCTGCTACAATACGCTTGATTGTGATTGTAAGGGCCTAGAAATTGTTTCAAAAGCGCGTTTCAGATCCAAAAAAAAACAGTCGTATCTTTACCCTCTAAGTTGTCTTTCCACTTTTCTAACACCAAATTCAATGCAGTTTCACAAGAATGACCTTCCCGATATCCTGATTATTCTGGTATCAACAAAAAGTTGCTAACAACTGATTTCTCTGATGTGTGTAACATGTTGATAGGACGAAACTCTTCTGCTTTAATCGTTCCAGCAACTTTTTGAATAGGAACAACTAAGGATTCCTTCCAAATTTGTGGCACATGTCCATTCTGCAATGAGTTATTAATAAGGTCCAGAAAGATGTGGCCAATGACATGAAAGCAATCTTGAATAACTCTAGCATTAACATTAGCAAATAACTCTAAGTTCATCTAATGTAATTGGGTGAAAACTCTTAAATCTACTACTACTATAAACTGGCTGTTTTATTTCGTCAGGTTCATCGACCATTCAATGGATTGTTTGATCAATGTAACACTTTCGACCAAATAATCATTAAACTTAGATGCAATTACTTGTTCTGATTGTTCTAATGTGCCATTAAAAGTTTTGCACCGCGGTTGCAATTACTAGGTTTTAATAAAGATTTCAAAATTTTCCATAACTCTTTGCTGTTGTTTTGATGCTGATCAATTAAAGGTGTCGTCGTTCCCACGTTGTCCTCAGGGTATAGGAGGTAACTTCCTTTTCCGTCCATCTTCCGGTGGCCACCAGGTGACGAGAGATGTCCGCACCGACGGGGCCTCGGCGTCCTCCTGCATTATCCAGAGGAGATGCAGATTTTATGACTGATTTCTTCTCCGAGCTTAGAAGTTTTAATTTCGGTGTGATTGGAGGCGAACCAGCCCAAGGCTGAAAGCCTCCTTAATAAAGCTAAATAATAATAATAATTTCGGTGTCCGGGCCATTCTTTAATCGTTTTGGATCTGTCTCGTCACTGTTTTGTTTCTTAATCTTCTTACCGCTGGTCGGTTGCGCTTCAAGTTGTTGGTACTCGGACTCGGTACCTGGGATGAACTCAGCTTGTTTTTTTCTTGGTGTTGGTTTTGACTGTTGAGGTTGTGTGAGCTGAGTTGGTTTCACTGCCTTCTGTTTCGTGAGCTCAAAGTATTTTTTTTTTTTGTTAGTGGTATCGTTGGTAGGGTACGTGTCTAGTATGCTAGCTCTCTCTCGATTTTTGGAAGCGAGTTTGACTTCTAGAAGATTTCTTTGTGTATTTTAGCTCGTAAACTCGTTTTTCTGGCGGATAGTTGGATCTCCTCTTCCTTCATGTAAGTAGGGCACTTTCGTCTGAACAATTGGTGGTCATTCGATTTGCACCGCATACAGAAAGCCTCCAACGTGCACGCGTTATCCTCAAAATATCATGCTGGCCGGAACAATTACCAGAAAGGAGCAGGTTGTTGACAATGAAGACGAGTATGTCTAAAATCGAAGCACGCATAACAGAGCATTGGAGAAGGATAGCACGGCAGTGTCTTGCACCGAACTCACCCGAAATCAATGTACTGGGGACCGCTTTATCATAGAGGTAACCTAAGGCCAAAAGGTCCCGAAGAAACGTGTTTAACTTTTTGGCTCAGCTCTGGTACTCTTCGGTCCCAAGCTAATCGAACCCCTCGAAACATAGGAAAATCCACGAACCCCTTATTTTATCTGTCCAACTTTCATAGCGAATCAAAAGAAACCAAAGACACATAGTGTAGTTCTAGAATTTCCACTAGAATGGGGTACGCTTGACTACAAAAAGGCTAGTCAAGTGGTGAGCCAATTTAAAATCGTTTGTTTCCACCGGTTGACTGTACCCTCAAGGGTGAGGATAATTGTCGGGGTGTTAATCCGATTATCGCCTACGCCACGTTTTTGTATACTCCTGATGGCAGTTATCCCTTGATTCTGCAGGTTCGTCTTAATGTCTTCGTCTGAGTATTCCATTGATTCTGCACAACTGATGACGAACTTTGAGAACCTCAAGACAGGGTGCTCGGAAATCTTGATGCCGAAACCGTTGGCGAGCTGGTCGATCTCGAGTAGTGTGTCAATATGATTTTTATTCCTCATCTTGAGAACGTAGGAAATACCACGGGCTTCAGGGTACGCACTTTCAACCTTTACTCCAAGATAAGTCTCGACAGACTTACGCAGCAGGAAGGGCTCCTTAGGGAGTTCGCCCTTGGTCACCTCCATACGCATTATCACTAACTTGTCGAAATCACCATCTTTATCTTCCCATTGAGGTAAACGGCGTCCGGTGTATTCCCTGTTCCTTTGATTAGAGGGTCCGGGGTCCACTAAGGTGCACACTTAAATTTTTTCGCCGAGATTCCAACAGCCGAATAATTCTGCAATTTGTTTTGCTGAGATTCAGTGAAACATTTGCGGAGACTCAGCTAACAAATTACATTTTGCTGAGCATATTAGCAAAAGTAAATGCTGAGGTAATCGGCTGTTGGAGATTTTACTGAGCTAGATTAAGTGTGTGGGGAAGGCAGCCTCTGGCTCCATGTCGGGTAACCACCAGATTTTAGTACCTAGTTCTAATGACTCCGAGAATTGGCTAATTCAACGAAATGCACCGACAACGATAAACAGTCGTGCAACAAAAAGTCCAATTCGCACTAGATGATTTCGCCCTTTCCTGCACACTTAATCTAGCTCAGTAAAATCTCCAACAGCCGATAACCTCAGCATTTACTTTTGCTAATATCTCTGCAAAATATCTGTTTGTTAGCTGATATCTCAGCAAAATGTAATTTGTTAGTTGAGTCTCCGCAAATGTTTCACTGAATCTCAGCAAAACAAATTGCAGAATTATCGGCTGTTGGAATCTCGGCGAAAAAATTTAAGTGTGTGGGCCACCCGCGTTGCTCGGCAATACCCGCGCACTTGTTTTTATTGGTGTCGGTGATTTCGGTTCCCTCTCGCTGGCGGAAACTAGTAAAACTCACATTGTTACACTTTTTGTTGCAAATCCACGACCGCGGTTAGGGCAAAACAGGGCAATGTACTTCATATTAAATAAATGCTATTCTACACACTTAGATTTTTTGCTGAGATGGGCACCACCGAGCAGCTCGGCATTTTATTTTTCTGGATCTCAATGTAAAACTTGCCAAGATTTAGCAAAATGTATATGTTTGTTAGCTGAGATCTCGGCAAAATTTCCGTAGCTGAATCTTGGCAAGTTTTTCACTGAGATCCAGCAAAATAAAATGTCGAGCTGCTCGGTGGTGCCCTTCTCGGCAAAAAAATCTATGTGTGTAAATTTAAGGAAAAATAGTGCACCTGTTCAATTGACGAGTGCACGGATGGATTTGAGTTCACTCACTCGACAAAAAGTGACACAACAGCGGGGCCCTGTTTACTAAAAATGAACACATATGTGTTCATTTTTAGTAAACAGGGCCCGCTGTTGTGTCACTTTTTGTAGAGTGAGTGAACTAAAATCCATCCGTGCACTCGTCAATGAGAATTCAGACAACGTAAACAAACTAACTCATAGAGATTGCTGACGTTTATCGTACGCACACTACGTCACGTAGGTCACGTATAACGTATACGCAAAATGTTTTCATCGGGAAAAAAAAACTTCATAGCGTAAAGTGACCAGACGTCCCGGATTCTGCAGGACAGTCCCGGATTTATCCTACATGTCCCACATTTACAAGTGTCCCGGAAACGTCCCGGATTACCAAATGTCCCGGAAATCGTCCCGCATTTGAAAAGTGATTATAAAATGAAAATTAGTGCACTCTTATTTATTTTCAATTCCACCAGATAGAGCGCGCATCATTTTAGATCCATTTCTAAAGGGTTCGACTAATACTGAAGGGTATGAAATGACATTTCAAGAAAAAGGAACAAAATGAATCGGAACAACAACAATAACAACAACAACAAAACTTTTGTCAACTACGGCACACTGCATCAGCGGAAATAATGATTTACTTGAGGCGGATAAAAATGAGCGAGACCTTTTCGACGAAGTAGCTTATATTAAGAAATACAGTGATGAAGACAAAATTAAGGGTTGGAAAGAGAGCAACACAAAAGTTGAACAGATGGGTAGAGATATTTATTTATTTCGACAGAAATGGCATTCCAATTAGAAACCTCAGAAAGATAGTAGAATTTGCTTTGTGTCTTCCAGGAACTAATGCTGTTACAGAGCGAGTTTTTTCTGTAGTTAACAAAATTTGGACCACTGAAAAGACACAACTAACCGTTGATACTTTGTAATCTGTACTACAGGTCAGGCAAAACTTTGATGAGACTTGTGATAGTTTTTATAAGATGATTTCATAAATTGATGTTTTGCTTAAGAAGGTGCACTCAGCCGAAAAATTGTTTAAATTTTCATAAGATTTGTTAAAATAAATAAATTGTTGTTTTCCTTAGAAAAATTGTTCTTTTATTCATCCTCAGTATTATGGACAGGGCCTCCCGCATTAGCCCGGAAAATATCTGGTCACTTTATCATAGCGGAAAATTTTCCCGATGAAAACAAATCACTGACACAATCATACTTTAGCAATCTCTATAGCATAGACATGTACAAAGCTGAAACATTTTGCTCCGCGGCAAGTGTTTTCGGCTTTTATAAACAGAACTTGCTAAATCGTCTGATAATATTTCCGCGAATCTCTGTACATTGGATTACTTGGGTAAATTTTTTCTTTTTAAGGGGGGTGACATAAATTTACATCAGACAATACTATTATTCATTTTCTTTTCTTTTTTGCATAGGACGTAATCAGTTTGGTCAACTGGGGCAAGCCGATTTAAAGGCATTAGAAAAACCAACACCCGTTAGCGGCTTAGAAGATGTGAATGTTATCCAAGCAGCATGTGGAAGGAATCATACCTTATTCTTAACTGACACAGGAATTGTTTACGCTTGTGGTGACAACAAAAGCGGTCAATGTGGTGTTGGTAATACACAGCCAACTATATTGAAAGCTACTCGTTTGAACTATGCTGGTCCACCAGTAATAAAAGTTGGATGTGGCGCTGATTTTTCGATGATATTAGACATAAAAGGTAACTTGTATTCATTCGGACTGCCTGAGTATGGTCAACTGGGTCATAATACAGAAGGAAAGTATTTCATCACATCCACAAAAATGTCATTCCACTTCGAAACGTCTCCGAAAAAAATTGTGCTGTATGTCGAAAAAACAAAAGATGGTCATGTTACACCAACAGACGACGTCAAAATTGTCGATTTTGCCAGTGGAAACAACCATACGGTATTGTTAGCGTATGGTTTAAAATGATTTTTTTTCTCTAATGTTGAATTTATATTTAGGTTGCAATTGATTCCAAAAACAGAGCTTTCAGCTGGGGCTTTGGAGGAATTGGCCGTCTCGGACATGCAGAACAAAAAGATGAAATGGTTCCCAGGTAATTTATATTTGTATTTGTATTTATTTAGTGATACGTTAGCACAAACGAAGTGACAGACGACTAACTGGCGAAGAAATCCATTTAAATAATGTGGTTCACTGTAATAGAATTTTCTTGGAAGCTTATGACATCATCCACCAGATGGGTTAGTTTTTTTGTTTTGATTTGAACAAAGTTGATTTTGTGTACAATGATTCTTTGACAGTGTGCAAAGAGTGCGTATCATTTTGTCATTTTTTATGCATTTCAGTTTTGAGTAGAGTGAAAGAGATAGAACCAAAACATTCTAGTACATTTGGTGAAAATGCTAGTTCAATCTAGTAGTAGTGTTGCCATGTGGTACAATCCAGTAGTAGTGGTGTTGCCATGTGGTACACTGAAAAATTGCAATAGCAGGTGCGTCACCAAAGTTTTCGAGCCGCTCCGTCTGTCACTTCGTTTGTGTACGTTAGTCTGTACACAGAAAAACAAAACTACCCACCGCTTGGGTTTTTTAAACTCAAATTTGAGTTATTTGACCTCTGTCCGTTTCATTTCCTCTCGCTATTGTTGTCAAAAATAGAACGAAAGATTCGACTCAACCGTCTAGTTCCGTACAAGAAGCCAAAATTGAGTAATATGCGATATACCCAAATTTGAGTTAATTGAACTTAATTTTGGGTAGAAAAAATTGAAAATAACTTAGCGATGGGTATTTTTTTTTGCCGTGCTTAAATGCAAACTACTTTGAGCCGGTTTACCCAAATTTGGCTTATCGTACGGAACATGGGAGATGAGTGAAAAGAACTTAATTTTGGGTTGTTTTGAATTTCTGTGATAGTTGACACTTTTTACCAGGTCAAGGAAGAATACATTTTTTGAAAGACACTCACTTTACGGAAAACTAAAAAAAAAGCTACAAATCGTGACAAATGTAATTGAAATTGAAGTTAATGTAGTGCTATAACCTATGTTTGAACGCCAATGCTATACCTATGTTAAACTCTACCAGGGGTGTTAAGACATCGCTTAAATAGGACTAAAGTTGGTTGTTGTTTGGTAATTCGATACTAATAATATAAATAATTTACAACAAGCGTTCTAAAATTAAGACCGAGTGGACAACTTCCACTGAACAGCCGTAGTTGTGCTACCGTTCCGTGGAAGTTGAACAAAAGCTTAATCCAACTGTTTTTGTTTAATAGTCTTTAGCTAATTGCTGAGCCGTTCCGTGCGCTGTGCGTCCGAACAATTTCGCGATAGCCTGTCTCGAAAACACCCTTGTGATGATCATGCATTAATGACGTACCTTTTCAGGGGAGATTATGCACAATTTGTGACCGGCCACATCCAAACCGCATGTCAATATACTGACAATAACCTTTTCAACAATATACACTCAGAAAAAATTAAACTAATTACACTGGAGTCGCTTTTTACGCGGTTTTTTTACACGGTTTTTTTTTTACGCGGTTTTTTTTTACGCGGATTTCGGAATTCAAGCGGTTTTTTTTTTTACGCGGATTCCGGAATTTACGCGGTTTTTTTTTACGCGGATTTTGGTTTTTTTTACGCGGATATCAGAATTTACGCGGTTTATCATTATACACTAGAGTCGCTTTTTACGCGGTTTTTTTTACACGGTCTTTTTTTACGCGGATTTCGGAATTTACGCGGTTTTTTTTTACGCGGATTCCGGAATTTACGCGGTTTTTTTTACGCGGTATTCATCACCCGCGTAAAAAGCGACTCCAGTGTATTGCGCATTTTGCACCTTACTGGACTCCGCACTTTAAAAGAGCGCGGGGATGAAATAAGTGTGGGCCATGCGTACACTCAAAAATAATAGTAACACAGCTAGATTAAAATTTATTAATTATATAACCGCAGAATTGGCGTTGACGGCACCGTCGAAAAATTTGCTCTTCCAGCAAATATAGACAGTTTCTTATGAGAATTTTCGGTGGAGTGAAAGGATAGTACAAAGCCCGCCATGTTTCACGCACAGTCTGACGTTTGCTTATGGATTTTCTCAAAGGAGTAAAGAGCTACAGAGTCGCCGTCAACGCCAACAAACTGTGTTTTGCATAAAAATTCCGTCGTTTTTATACTAGATTGAATACGTGGACTGTAAACGTCAAAACATTACTTTTCCGTATGAGTTCCAGAAAGATATTAAAGATAAATGGAAGGTAAAACGAGGATTTTTAGGCTTATTTTCCCGAGTATTTCCACAGTAAATCGCCGAATAAGAGACCATTTTCAGTTGTAAGTAACTTAGAAATGCAATAAAAAACAAATTACAAAAATATTATTCCGTTTTGTAGGAATGCATTTGGTTGAGCTCTACCTATTTCAGCGATGATTTCCCGTATGAGCATGAACCCAACAACTACGTCGGTGGTATAAGTGAGCCTCAGGAAGGATCGAAATGTTGATTGTTGTCACTCGTTTAGAATTCTGCGTCGGATAGAAAGTGCTTTCAAGGACGATGACGGAGAAGCGGTTCAGAAAACCATCCATCAACGGTTCGACTTTACGTGTTGGATACAGGCGTGTAAGACGAAGAATCCCTTCGCTAGTTGCTTCATCCCGATTGGAGAGGTTACAAAAACAATGTGCAATGTACCACCATTATGCTCAACTGAAACATCTGCCAGGTCATTCGAAACGATATGAAGTTAATAACCGTTTCAGGCTGCTTCTCTACTAACGAGTGAAAACTCAGTAAAGTGGCAATACTGAAGGAAAAAACCCTTCTTATCTCCTGCATGCTGGCCCAGACATTTGATGACTCATCTGGTGATGGTAGCGGTATTAAAATCAAATGTATTGCAAATATGTATGACAAAGAATATAAATAGCTTTTAATGTATCCTTATATATTTTGTTTTCCAATTCACTCAAAATGATCATAAAAGCTTAATGACAGCTAAACATAAAAAACCCAGTTAATACTAGGATTGAATACAAGAAGAAAATGCATTACGATGTATAATCCATTTTTATACTAAGTGTTTATTCTCTCTCTTTAAACCAACCCGCATAAACGCGAACCATAACTTGACCTTACCGATAATAATTATAAATTGTTTATAATCACTCCTAAACTTTAACTGAAATGGTTATGGAACTTTACATGAACGTTTGTGTGATAAAGTTTTAACCTTATGTATTATTGTTTTTTGAAAGCGGACCTCACAAATAATGGGTTGTTAAGAACCATTACCATTCAAAATTCTTGTTTTCTCCATACATTTTCGAAAAGAAAACTATATTTGAACGTTTTTACTTATGGTTTGAGAACATTAATGGTTATGGTTATGAAAGTCTGTAAGGTCCATCTAGGGTCCATTTCATAAAAGGAAAACATATTTCGATAAGGGTTTAATACAGCCCTCAGAAGTATGGATGACTTATCCCAGTAAGGCAATAAAGTTCATTCGTTCTATAATACCTTACTGGGACAATTATATTACACAACCGATGGATTGACCTGGTTACAACAGTTTGGATGTAATATCACAAACGAAGTGACAGACGGAGCGGCTCGAAAACTTTGGTGACTAACCTGCTATTGCAATTTTTCAGTGTACCACATGGCAACACCACTACTACTCCCGAATATCCTGGTATATACACTTTGACTTAAGTAACAATAGGGGCCACCAAATGACGTATAATAACTTTTGACTCAAAAACCAGTATTTCTTAGCATGAAAGCTAGCGATTTGCATTTGTATGATTAAAACCCGGCTAAATATGTTAAACATTGCTATCACTATGAGATTATATGTGTTTAATTGGAAATAGGAATAACTTTTCGGTCATCAAAACAAAACTTTATTTTTCTCGGATCGGTGCGAATGTTACTTACGACTGGAAAAGTATGTCATGTATTAGATTGCCTATTTTTGTTTATTATAGTCACTCCTGGAATCTTCTTTCGCGTATATAAAAAGAATAGAAAAACTTCTTAATGGATCAAGGCGTTTTCCTTTCTTTGAAAATATAAGAAAAGGAAATATATTAATTCTTTGGATATACGATAAAGAAGGGAGTATTCCCTTCTTTTAATATATGAAAGAGAACATAATTATTTCTTTAAATATATGATAAAGAAGGGAATATTCCCTTCTTTGAATATATAAAAGAGAACATCATTAATTCGTTAAATATATAAAAAAGATGGAAATATTCTGTTTTTTGAAATATATTTTAACCATTTTCGGTAAGGTCAAGTTATGGTTCGCGTTTATGAGGGTACACCGGTGTTGAACCGCCGAACACCGCAAAAATTTAGGGTGTTGCTATCGATTGCACCTTTGTTTACAAACAAAAGATAATGAGCTGTCAATGATTCGCGCTTATTGCTGTTTACACCACCGACATACCGACATGACACTTAATTTTGACTTATGCCCGAAATTCGTAAACGGTCGATTTAAATGTGCAGTGATCCAAACTGTCAAAACCATAGGATTTTTTGATCTAGATAAAAATAATTTGTCCAGAATAGATCAGACACGAACCAATTCATGATTTTTGCATGCGGGTTCATGACTTAGCTAAATGTTTCCCGCGAACATGGAGCCAGATGTCAGTAGTGTGCTTTGGTCAGAAATTTTATTGCTTTTGCTATGGTCATTCATGTCGTTTTGTCGGTGCTTACACTACACCGGTGTAGTGTCGTAAAAACGAAAACAACATCTGTCAAAACGGTACAACCAACGAAACTAACGATTTTAAATTGGCTCACTACTTGACTAGCCTATTGGTTCCAAGCAAATCGACTAACGTACCCCATTCTAGTATAAATTCCAGTAATACACTATGTTTATTTTGATTCGATATGAAAGTTTGGCAGATAAAATGAGGGGTTAGTAGATTTTCCTATGTTTCGAGCCAAAAAGTTGAGCTCATTTCTTCGGGACCTCCTGGTCTTAGAGTTACCTCTATGGTACAACCTGCTTACGTCGAAACAGAAAAAAGAGGCTAATTATGCCCAACAAAACCTTCACGACTTGACATTACTTGGT